AATGGCATTTAAATTAGGCTTTTGCGTATGCCTCCCAGCACCAAAAAGGGGTAATTTACTAGACATTAGTTTTAATGCGCCGTCATAATTTCGGGCCAGATTAAGATTTATCTATTGGTCAGTCAATTTACATAATATCGACCCCGTCTGACTTGTAACCGGCGGGAATATTAAATTTTATTTATGACCGATCGATCGATTACGATATGGCATCATACATCGATTTTAATCTACTCGTAGCCAATTCTAGACATTTATTATGGAATAAACAAAAAAATCATATTATTTTTTGCTTATTTTCAAGCCGAAATATTGAATTTCCTGTACCGCCAAGGCTATATTTTAAAGAAAATTTCTTACCGTAATATCTGCTCGCGAAGCATTTCAATAAGCCATCATTACGCTCCATACGTCCATAACTCATTGCCAATTACATTTTAACATCGCCACTTAAACCCATTAAAAAAACCTAAATCAATAAAAGATCCTTTCATCATTTTCTTGCATCAGATTCGCTCGTTTTTTCCCGATCATAAGCCGCCGCAATCGCGGCAGGTCATCTTTTACAATTTCTGTATCTGCTCTCGTGCCGGATAATAACGTTGTAACACAAAGACGTCCATTAAATAAGATGAGATGCGTTTGCGGCAACCCTTTCGAACCCATTCGAATGGAAAAAAATCTGGTTTGACTCACAACAAATTTCACAATTTCTGTACCAGATATTGTGTTTCTCTTCGTCTGCATGTATGCGTGTGTTTACCAATGGAAAATGTGGCAGGTGTTAGTATCTAAAGAGCTTTACCCGCCCTCGCCAGACTTGAGTAAACAAAACTGTATCCTCCTACTCGAGAAGAGCTCTTTTCTAAAGGTTATAATAACTGTGCACACATGACAAGATCAAGATTTTGGTTGAATGCCAGAAAACCAATAGAGAGACGACGGCTTTGGGTAAATGTATACTCGAATGGTTAGACCAGGGTGTTAATAAGGAAGTGTTAATTCACTCTCAAATATGGACTTTTCACGCATGGAAAAGTTAATTTGTGAAAATCGTGATTAATGACCAGAAAATGGTTAACTAGATTAAGGATAGCGTATTCACGCCTACTCGATTTTGCAGCATATGGTGACGATATTATCACAGTTAATATCATAGACGACTTCCTTGTGCCTTTTTTCGACTCGATCAATTACGTCCTCGGCATTGATATTGGGAGACAAGAAAATAGAAGAGAACAGCGGGCAGATGTCCGGTGCATAATTCGCATATTTGTGGCTGTTCTGCACCCGTTTCTGATTTAGTGTCTGCTCGATTCTACACTCTGAACCATTTACAACGTGTACATACCTCCAACTTCACATTTTTCTTTGTGTAAGAAGAATTAATTAAAACAATGGACATTCGCCTACCATGAGAACAATAATACTCTAAAAAAATGAATTTTTTTTTCAACGTAATGCCTTCAACCCTTTTAACAGCTTGTCAAAAATGCTTCAATTTTTGCTTTTTTGTACTTTGGCAATGACGTCATTGAATAATTTTGATAATTCGAAGAACTTTTTTAGAAAAATATGAAAAATACTTAAAATGGGCTCACACACGTTTTTTTGGGAAAAATGCCATTCGAAAGTGCTTAGTAACAACTATTTATGTATTAAGTACGCAAAATACGGGGTTATTATAATATAAATGATTCTAAAATCCAGTCGCCTTTGAAATTCTTGTTCATTTTACTTTCAATATACCATTCGCCGCTTTTGTCAATGTAGGTAACATTTTGCATCTGTAATCGTTTATTTACGAATTTTTCGTTTAAATTGCATTTTTATTTTCCCACTTGAAAGTAACAAGATTATTTACTTACATACAGGATGATTCAAAAATGTCGGACCAAATGGTGATTGAAGACTAAAAATTAAATAAGATTTTAGTTTCAAGCTTTTTTTTGAAAAAAATTAAATTGTTAAATTTTCATATTATTATCATGGTAGTCTAAGAGCCCACGGTCGCCAGACCTTCGTCATTTTATAAAAGTTGAAAATTTATCAGCGCATACTACCAATACAGGTGGTAACGATGGGCAAGTATGAAGTTTGGGTCATCGTGGCTTTGGGTGATAACAGGTAGCAAAGAAGTAAAAAATACCAACTTAAATTTATCAAATAAAAAAGCGTAATTTCTTTATATTTTCTTCGGAATAATATTAGAAATCACCTCATCCATTGCCAGACACTCAACATTGTGGCAACCCTTTGTCAGACATCCTTAAACTTTAATAAATTGTAACTGTACTTACGTTATAGTAAAAAAGCTTAATTTTATACATGTTACTTGGGTAACTATTAGAAAATGTTTTCTCAGTAGCCAGACAATTTCGACAGTTCTAAGTGCAGTTTATAAAATAAATTTGATTCAGTTTTGACAAAGTATCATCATGGGAGGCCTACAGCTACTCTATATCTTTGTCTGGCAATGGATGAGGTGATTTCTAATATTATTCCGAAGATAATATTAAAAAATTACGCTTTTTTATTTGATAAATCTAAGTTGGTATTTTTTACTTCTTCGCTACCTGTTATCTCCCAAAGCCACGATGATCCAAACTTCATACTTGCCCATCGGTTCTACCTGTGTTGGTAGTATGCGCTAACAAATTTTCAACTTTTATAAAATGACGAAAGTCTGGCGACCGCAGGCTCTTGCTCTGTGCAGGCATCTTTTTTTTTTTGTTTTCGACGTTGTCAGCTTTAATAATTTATTGTTAAATTTGGTAGTTTGTTAAATGTTTTTTTTACACCATAAGACACAAATTAGTGATTTTTTTCGACAGGTATCTGTTCAGTCCTACAAGATCTGCCGTTTCAGCTAACTAAATTCAAGATTACATAATCGGAACTGTCAAAAACTTAATCCAAAAGCTAATTTTTAAAGAGCTATATTTTGTGAAAAAAAGCTCAAATTTTTTTTTGTCATATAAACTTTTAACTAAGATGGATATCCTTTATCACCACTCAAAAATGGTCCCACACTTTTGAATCACCCTATATGTGATTCTAAAAGTTTACCAGAACTTAAATTTTGATGAGAAGAATATTATCATCATTGCATCTTATTACATAATGATTTAATATAACTTATTACCTATACAGGCTGATTCAAAAGTGTTGGACCATCTTTTCAGTGGTGATAAAGGATATCCATCTGAGTTAAAACTTTCCATGACAAAACAATTTTTGAGCCTTTTTTCACAAAATATAGCTATTCAAAGATTAGATTTTGGATTAAGTTTTTGACAGTTCCGATTATGTAATCTTAAATTTAGTTAGCAGAAACGGCAGATCTTAAAAACTAAACAGATTCCTGTCGAAAAAATCACCAATTTGTGTGGGTGGTAATAAAAAACATCCAACAGAGTTAAAAGTTATTTTATTTTTCACGAGATGTAGCTCTTCAAAGGTTGGATCTTTGGGTTAAGTTTTTGGCCGTTGAGGTCATGTATTTTTGAATTTAGTTAAAGTCTGTCTATATTTGCTTGAATTTTATAGTGCAGTAGAGACAATTAACTTGGGCCTTTAGTGATAAAGAAACCCCAACCCCTCTTGTAAAGGCTTGTTTCCTTTGCAGTTGCTTCAACAGCCCGCTGGTTGCTCTGGTAACAATAGCTTTACATTAAAACCCTCATAAACTAGTTTGATAAGTCAAAATCATAAAATTCAAGCAAAAATAAACGGATTTTAGCAGACACGACCTGTTGACAGATTAAAAGAAATCACCAATTTGTATCTTATAGTGTTCAAAACATTTAAGAAACTATCAAATTCAACAATAAATTAATCCGACAACATCAGAAACAAAGGAGCTACATAATAATATAGAAATTAATTGTCAATTTGTCAGTTATGTTCGTTCTCAGAAAAAAGGGAATTAGTTCGACGCTTTTGAATCACCCTGTATACACCAACGGAGATTTATGTAGGTTAAATTTGGACTACAAAAAAGAATATCTTGCAAAATATCCCAATAATAAAACTACCAAAAAAGTTATAAATGGAAACTTGACATTTTTTTCTAAAGCGCGAATTATGAAACATCTTGTAAGTATATTTAATATCATTCTACAGCTAATCAGAGCTAAACAAATTGTCAATGTTTGTGAGAAGCAGTCCTTACAAAGTTTATGATTGACTTTTGTTACCAATAATAACTCATAACTAAATTGAATTTCAAGTTAACAAATTTTTGTCGTTTTCATCACCCTAACGCCCTAAACTAAATTTTCTTAATCTTATTTACGCATATACTGAGTGGATACTGTCAGATTTCTATAGTGAATAGTCATCAAAAAACATTGTGCTTAATTAAACCTTGGCAGTTCTAATGTGAAGTAAGAGCAAAACTGTTCAAGTAAATAATTTTGTTCCTAATAAGATCTTGGGACGTATAATTCGTCGCTACAACAAAAAAAATCAAGAAAGTATTATAATGAGGTCGGATGATACAAAACCAACATCATTACAGCGTCTGCACCATGTGTATTTGTGTATATGTATACACACAGACACCCATTACATATTCTAAAGCACAAAAAGTAAATGAAAGGAGGCGGCAAGGCGTTCTCGAATGAATAAGAAGTGATGTGATACACGCACACATTATAAGAAGGGTTGAATGTTTGATCCCTCGGCTGCTACCGAGACACCCTTTCATTTTCTATACTTTTTTATTCGTTTTTTTCCAAGCAATTGAAATAACATATTATTTCAAAAGACGGCACGCCACCTTGTCGAGTACTGAATATGCCGCTTTTTACCTCGTTTTAATTACTACAACCTCTAGTCGGACTTGTAAAAATTGCATCCGCGTTCATCATCAATCGACTCATCATAATTACCTCAATTAAAATAATTGGCGAGTTTAATAAAAATGACCCACATTTCACTTTAGGACACGACCGCTCTCGGACCCTTCTCCTGTCCCAATTTACCAAAATAAAATGTAAAATGCGCCTTGTATATTTGAGAAACAAAAACCCAGCCATAAATAATGCATGACCGCATCCGAATATATCACAGCGGGAACGAAATGATACTTATCCTTATTGGGGTTCTCTGATATTGGGCATTGTTGGAGTCGCATGTTCATGCTGAGAGGAAGGAATTATTACGAGGACCCGAAACGTAAAATGTTACATGCCACCGCTGCTTGCGACACTAGGCACCAAGTCGACTTCGGTCGGCGGCGGCGTCACTAGTGACGGCGGCGTCAACTGACCTCCATGACGCCGGATCATGTCCACGAAAAGGTCAGTCAAACACTCGTAACTGAAAATTACTTACAAACAAGAAAAAACTATTTGTAAAAATTACGCTTCTTCGATAAAAAATTCCTTTGAGACCAAACCGTCGGTGGAGAGAGGAGGGTTTTTGTCGTAGGAACAAATCCCGAGAGTTTTCATTCCTGCAAATCCAAAGAAAATGTCTTTGACTGTTTTATTGAATTTTTTACCAGTTTCATATGGTTCAGGCTCAATAAACCCGGTTCTCATGGGGTCCATAAGAATAAACAGTTGTTCTAAAGTAAAAAATTAGTAAGAAAAGTAACATAGGGTGCGCCAGAACTCGCGCCCCAGAGACAAATGCCATAATATATCAGAAACATGGAAAAAATGTTAAAAAAAATCTATCTATAAAAATTTCAAAGTTATAAGAGTTTAAATTTTGCACTTTGACTCTATTTATTACTCTTGGAAATAGTAGATTATGTTATTAGGAGTAAAAGAGATTGTTTATGTGCAGGGGCGGATCCAGGAATTAATTTTGTCATTTTATTTAACATTTCACAGACATATGCACAGGACATACGTTTTTGGATTCAAGGACGACTCGATTACAAATTATCTTGATCTCTCAATATACTAATACCATTTTGCTAAGACCTACTAAAAATTTTATTACTTTTAAGTTAAATGCGGCATGGTAAAGAGTAAATCAGAGGGTAAACAAATCATAAATTAGTGGAACCCACCGGGACCCTGAAACAGGTCAGTTTTTAACAGGGCCGGATTACTTACTTTCTTTTTGTCTAAAATACTTGAAATATTTTAATAGTTTTTGATGTAGTCAAATATTTTAAGAAATTTAAAAAGCCAGGTGATTATTAACAAGTTATTATTAAATAAAGCAGATTTTTTTTAATAATGGCTTGGTAAAACTCTACCACTACTTTGGTTTTAAATACGGCCCTGTTTTATTGTGGTGGGTGCAGCAACACTTGCAAAGGAACGTGCCATTTATGGAGGGTTACAAATTCAAGCCATTGTTTGGTTAATCTCTTATAATGTGTTATAAAATTTTTAGTAGGTCTTAGGAAAATGATTTTTCTATACTTACTTAGTTTTTATTTTTACTAATTTAAAAAGAAATCATCAATAGTAACTCAACAGTTGCAACTTTTTTGGGCCACATCTTAGATATCTAATTAAATTAAATTCGTATCTGTTTGAACAATGAACTTTACTAACTCGGTTATGTAATATACTATTACGTGCTATTACTAACTCGCTAGGACACCTTATCTAGTGAGCGGCAAAATTATGAAATAATCTTATTAAAACTGAAAATATTTTCTTTCTAAAAAATACACAAACTTCAACTTGATTTAAAATTTTACACTTTTTGGTTTTTGAGTAATGACGTCATCGCCATTTTTAAAAAAAAAATCCCTATTTTTTTAGCAAATTTGATAAAAAAAAATATTCATAAAGTGAAATAATATCAATAAAAAACAAAGATACAATTTTAAATCAAGTTGAAAATTTAGTATTTTTTTTAATTGACCTGTCCAAGAATTTTTGCCAACACAAAACATTTTCAGTTTTAAAATAAATAAATTTTGCCGCTCACTGTATACATATACCAAAGTAAAAGTTTCATCTTACACCTAACCCATTCAAAAAGAATTAAAAATCCCCCTACCCCAAAAAATTAATTCCTGGATCCGCCCCTGCACATAAACAATCACTTTAACTCCTAATAACATAATCTACTATTTCCAACAGAAATAAATAGAGTTAAAGTGCAAAATTTAAACTCTCATAACTTTGAAATTTTTATAGAAAGATTTTTTCCATGTTTCTGATATCTTATGGCATTTTTCTCTGGGGCGCAAGTTCTGGCGCACCTATATAAGAAACACTGACCTAAATGAGCTTTCTCGTAGAGCAGAGGCGGGTTTCCAAAACCCGACCTGTACAAAAGACACTTGTCTAATAAATCTACCAGAAACTGGATTGGGTCATCAGGCATTTCGCTCAACATATGAGCTATCAAGAACCGAAAAAATTCAAAAATCTTGTGTTGGCGCAAATACTTGCGAGCCTTTTTCATAGCTTCAGTCATTTTCGAGTCCATTTCCTCCTCAGTTGCACCCGCAATTGACTCCAGTTTCTCCCGAACCTGACAATTTTATTCCCAAATATCTAAACTACTGAACACATTACCGGTTTTTTCATTTCTTCATATTCGCCGTCATCTGCTGCAAGCCCCATCAAATACTCCAAAGACGGTGATTTCGCACTTGCAGTTTCCGAGTCTGGTGTGAAAACAGAACTTTTACTCTTTGTTTTAAATGATAGAGTTGAAGGTGGTGAGGAGTAAAGTGATTCGCATTCGTAGGCTTCAGCCGTGTCGTGTCTTGAGAGGAGCATTTGGCGACGTTGTTCGTCATCGAGGAGGGCTCGCTGGAGAGAATCCCAGTTTCGCATACCGAAACCTGTCACCAACATGGAGCGACGAGAAGTCTGTTTGTCGGAGGATTCGGTGGAAGAGGATGATAAAGTCTCGATTGTCGTCACTGAAAGTTTCGTAAAGTTTGTGCGAGAAAGTGAGGATTAATACCGCTTGGTTGGTCTAAAAAGTGCTGATATAAGTCGCATGGTTCTTGAAACACTCGGGGAGTGGTGGATTCTTCCATTTTTAAACGCTTTAATAAAACTGTCAAATTGTTGTTGACAGAAATTTGGTCGCTTAGTTATTTTATCCACATTCTTGCATGGATAATTTATGGTTCTTTTTCACAAAAAATGAAAGAGTTAAAGAAAAAAAGTTGTAGCAGAGCGTGGTTTCGATCCACGGACCTCTGGGTTATGGGCCCAGCACGCTTCCACTGCGCCACTCTGCTCTTGCTTTCTCTTTTTTGTGACAAACATAGAAAAAGAGCAGAAAAAGGATTGTAAATAAATAGATAAATTATACAGAGTGATTATAAATGATTTTCATTTAGCCAGCTGTGAATTTTCCATGTAAAATAAAAAATGCCGCTTTACGTAAATAGGGGTACCTACTTGTTTTAACTCAAAATTAAAAAATCGCCGTTTACTAAGCGTCCACTTCGAAAATAGACTTCAATTATAAACTTGTTTTCTTCCAAAGTATACATCATTATCAATTATTATTGGAAATTAGTTGAAACAATAAAATTTTAATTAACAACCATTTATTATTAATTAATGACAGAACTAGAGCTTTCAAAAAAGTTACATGCAAAAAAATTCCAAAGCTGGCTAGATGAAAATTATTTATAACCACTCTGTATTATGGTTAATACATTTTTTAAATACTATTTGAATAATTTAATACAATCGTATATTTTATATAAAAAATTTCTTTTTTGTGTACACCTTAAAAATAGTTATTTATTATACAAGACGATAAAGAAATTGTTTATCTATAAGTGAAAAAGTTTTTCAACAATCTTTATCGTCGTGTATAATATTTTGTTTTATTTTGTACTCACCTACCAGAATTTCTTGAATATAAGCAGTAGATCAAAATTATTTTATTTCACTAGACGATAAAAGACTACTGTAGCTAATAAAATTAGTTGATAAAATCACTGTTTAACATTGAGTACGAAATAAACATTATTTTTATGCTTTATGTAAGTACAGTTTTTAAAATAAACACTCATCATCCTCATAATTGTCCATTTTTCTATAGATTTTTGACTTTTAAAATATTACTATGGTGAAGTTTAAAGACTTTGTTAAAAAATACCACAGCCGCTAAACTTTTCTTTTAAAATCATTAAGTCTTAAAATATTGGGAGCACAAAATGAAAGAGAAAAATACAACCCTGACGGAGGTTGGAAATTGACTTATCATTCCTACTACAGTGAGATCAAAAAGTCTTTTTATCAAGGAAGCGTAGAAATTAAAACGTATGTCTGTGGAAGATAAAATGTCACAAAGACAAATGAGAAATGTCAAAATAATTTTTATGTAAATTATAACAGGAAACCGTGGTGAACGATTTTTATGAATAAACACCAACAAAATCTCATTTTAAGATATTTTGAGACGTTTCATAGAATAATTCAATTTTATTAGCTTAGTATTTTAATTTTTATAAAATAATTTTTTGACATCTAGATAACATACGAACTGCCATGCAACATACGTCTTCAACTAGGACGCCTACTTGATAGAAAGATTTTTTGATCTCACTGTACCTACCTCTATTACCTACATTACCTACCCCTGTTACATTACCTACCTCTATTATATTACCTATCTCGAATACTGTCCTCCTTTTCTAGTCCCACTTTTGTCACAATTAATCGATCTATTAGTGGAACCGCAATTAGTCGAACCACATTACTACGTTGTTTATAATAAAATTGTATACAAACCTCGGTGGAAAGCTTCATTTCTGTCCCGACATAAAATTAACCTCGACGCAAGCATCTCGATAAAGTTTCTAATCTTACTACACTTTTCATCTCTATTAGTGCCTATTAGGCACTCATTTTTTCATACTGTTATTTTTTATTAAAAAGTGTTGAATTATTAATGAGTTTGCTCTGTTTTAAAAAACATTGTTGGTTGTATTTTGACATTTACATTTTACAGAAAGTGGACTTTTTGATAAAACAACGTTTTTTTTTCAGTTTAAAAATATTTGTCAGCATCTTGCAAAAAAGTGCAAACGATGCAACAACGCAAATTAAACTTTTTAATTTCAAGGTAGATTTGCTATAAGAACTTTTTCTCTACTAAAAAGCTTTTGAATAATGCTCAACGTGTTTTTACATTTAAATAAAATTTAGCATATACAAATTTTTATTTTAAATTTTTTCGTTTATTTTTAGGACCCGTAAATAGTTAAAAAAAACTTAAAACTTTATGTTTTTAGATGGGCATTTTAATAATCTATTAGATATAAAAACAAAAAATAGGGTGTTCCATTTAAATTTTTAAGTAATTTAAATTTTAACAAACTTCTACATTTTTCTTTCATCTTTAAAAATGCGATACATTAAAAAATTGTTATAAAGGTACTCTTTATGTTTGTACTATTTTCTTTGCAGTAGTAGAAAAACTTTTTTTTAACTGTTTTAGTTTTTGTGTAATATTTTTTTTTAAAAAGTATGTTTTTGTCAAAAAAAGTTTATATCAAAAACATTGTAATAAGAAGCTACATCCAGAAATGCCAAAAGACATATGGTGTTTCATTTAAAAAACACAAGTTTGTATTGTAGATATCTTATTTTTGAAACACGCTGTATAGTTGAAAATAATTTTAGGCCATACACTGGATTAGTATCTACCAATTTCCTACATAATTTTTTTAAATTTTAACATTTGGAGGTCGGGAAATATGTCATTACATCTCTTGGTCGGGAAATCATTTATGTAAAATTACCAAGGATACGAGCCCATCAACTGTCAAAAACGCGATTTGTGTTCTACATCACCATTGACAGAGAAAGAAGTATTTTATTATTTTAACGAAATATGATTATAATAATAAAGTATACAAACCTTCATGGAAATGTCATTACTCCTTGACACTACGACATTTTTTTCACTTCGATTGTAATATACCTACTATAACAATTAAAATAAGATATTTGTCCCCAATTTGTAACAAGGTCATTATAAGCTTTATCAAATAAACAACGAATGTATAATATAAAATTTAGCACGGGCATGGCAGTGGATAATGTCAACGTCTTCGTATAAATTAAACTGGTAATGATTCGTTCATCATAAACAAACAAAAACATTTGCTGAAAAAGGTTAATTTCAAAGTTGACATAAAATTAATTACTGAACGTTTGATGCAACGCTGCTAAATGCTACAATGTCACCCAATTATGACTCTCTTAATTTTTCTTAATTAAAGTGAGGCTAATAACTCTGTAATCGACCTGATTTATAATGATTACAGGTACCTAGACACACATATTTATAATTTACGAGCATTCAGTGGCTCATTAACGAAGACCAAGTGCTTTTAGTTACACTCAAGTTAAAATTACGGCTACTGAAACATCTTGCATAAAATTAATGACAAAGAGCAAGAAGAGAAAGCCGTCGGCGGCACGAGGAATTTGTCTGAAAATTTCTCAAACGAATCGATAATTACACTTTTAGAGCAAAAACTGTATTTTACCAAATTTACCATTTTGTGTAACCCATCATTAGAGTATTTAGAACACAATGGAAACGTTCCAGGAGATAATGGACCATTTTTGGTGGCCCATTGCGAAAGGGCAATATTTACCTGCAATTTAAAACGAGAAATAGGCTTGTTGTGCATTGAGGGCACGCCGACACACAATGGCCGTTAGAAGTGCAATTAACTCGTAACAAGTTTCTTTACACGTCTTGTATCAAAGTACTTTCATCGGGTATTTGTTTAACACAGAGGACGCCGCCTTTTTTCCAATCTCATTCGCTTGAACTAAAGCCAGGTGTTGAATCATTAAAAAGAACACTGGGAACTACAATATATTTATGACTTGTATGTAGTATTGAACATATGGCGCTTGTATCAAAATTTCTATATATCTGAGGACCGACAGCTTGAAAAAAACTTGTACAACTACTTCCAGTTCCAAAAAAATCCTCACTAATCCCAGTAGTTCTAATAATTCAATGCATGTAATTTCACCATTTTCAAATTACTTTTTATAATTTCAAATTATTTACGATAATTCTGAATATGTTCAAAATTTAAATCAAAAATTGTCTAAGTTTTCGCTTTTCGTAAAAATTATTGCATTCAAACTAAAATTCTTATTTTTATGTGTTTTAGCTACTTTTTCATGTTCTACTTATTTGACTATTTTTTCAACATAAATAAAACCTTTTTTAAATACAAGGTATGCCAGAACTCGCGCCCCAGAGAAAAACTTCAAGTAAAATAAGATACGAGTACCAGGAACATGGAAAAAGTGTTCTATCTGAATTCTATCTGTCAAAAAATTTTGACATTTATTTTTTGACATTTGACATTTTTTATGTCTATTTAATAATACTGATGATCTTGTAATGTTTTTTTTTATTATCATTTAGTAAAGGTACAAAAATTTTGCCAATAAAAGCTACAAATAACATTAAACAGAGTTACAATTTAGGCTACAGCTTCCTTATTTCCTCTTCTATAGCCTGTAGCAAAAACTATTTTTCCACCAGAAATAAATAGACTCAAGTGCAAAATTTAAACTCTCATAACTTTGAAATTTTTATAGTTAGAATTTTTTTAACAAATTTTGGGGCACCATGAATAAGATAAAAAATGCACCAAGAGAACGTTAATATTTTTCACATCTTTTTCATAAATAAGTATGTAATAGACTTATGTAATCAAATTTTATTTTATTTAAAGTTCCTATTTAAAATCGTAACAATTTCTTTAGTTTTATTTAGTTAACCACATAAATAATAGACAAGTGTTGAAAAGCGAATTTTTTTATTTGAATGCGTGAAGAAAGCTTTTCTCACAAGTAGCCTACAACGTTTTTTCTACGACCTTCATAAATTATTTATTATTATAATCAATCAATTATCGTAGTGTCAAACAGAGTCAAATTTAAAAATGTCAAAACCATGCAACACACAATACAATGTATTGTTTTCACACAAAAACTTAGTTTTTCATTCTAGTTTTGCCTTATCCACGAATGATGATTTACATAAATTAAATTTAAGATACTGAAAATAATTAATAAAAA